TCTCCGTTAAAGACTGTCCACTCTGAGTCTTTTGGAGACAAAGACTTGTGCTTTTAACCAATTAATAACCTAATAAGATTTTTTTTAAGAGAGATTTTTGCTTTAGGGCATGTGTACTCGCTAGAGAAACAGAGACAGAAAGCGAGAAATCATCCCCCAGGAGGGATGACCACATTGCAGTCCCTTCTCCTCCATTCTCCTCGGGATTTTGGGCACGCATGCACACCCGTCTGGTGTGAGTTTAAGCTGCTGAGACCGGGACACAAACTGTGGTCGATTACGTGGGAATCCAGCAGCATAACCATTATACCATCTGCTAGTCCCTAACCTAAGAATTTCTAAACCTACGTATAACCTGTAAGTCCCTGCTTCCCAATGTTCTGCCTTTTTGGGCCAGGCCAATGAAAAGGCCCCATGTGCTGAATTATGATTTGTTTATGCCTCTCGCTCTCAGAACAGAATAAAAAACTGCTGCCTCTAAGCACTCTGAAACACTTTCTCTTGACTCCCAGAGATTGTTTCTGGGTCTCGGTCATTCATATTTGTGCTTATAATAAACCATTTTCTTATTTCCACAGAGGTCGGTTATTGCTGTCAACATTAGAAACATACATTCTCTGGCTCTACCCAGCTCTAGAGGATCAGAAGCTCTGGGAGTGGGATGGTCACGTGAGAGTCACAACCTCCAGCCTCCTGATGTAGGCTGGAGTGTGAGGACCCTGCCCATGAGGAAGAAGGCTTCCATGCTCCCTGTTTGCTGATGGTCCTCAGAGAGCCCAGCTCCCTTTGTGCTTCCTGAGGGAGAGGCTGTGCCGTTAGGCTTTGGGTAGCTATTCTCCTCAGTCCCTGGGACCTGATGCTCTGTCACTGGCCAGCTTCTACCTGTGTATACATCTGCAGTCTTGAAGGCGGCTCAGGATCTGCTTCCAACAAGCCTTCCAGCTGTGCTCTGTGACACAGGGGGACCTTCAGGCTCATGTGTTGCTTGTCACCAGTCTCAGGACACCCATTTACTTTGCAACCCGTCTCAGAAAGAGCTTTTGCCCAGAGGCCTCTACTCTGGTACCACCCCTGGGTTAGCCCCCACAGTGGGCCCTTTGCTCCTGGCTCTCCAAGGAATGTTCCTCTTCACATTTGGTCCTAAGAAGTCAACCATAAAACAAACAAACAAACAAACAAAAAACACAAAGATACCAGGCTCATTGCAAATTATAGCAAAATGGGACGGAAAGATAAAAGCAGCAATCCCCTTATCCACAGCCTCCCATCCTCAAATCCTCCGTCACCCCACGCCCGCCTCTGCCCCAGCAGCCAAAGTTCTGGCTGTCTTTATGATTTGCATTCTCGGCATGACTTTGCCTCTTGGGTTTGTTTAATTAGAAATAGGCCGGGAAGTGCTTCCTAGGCGCTGGCATGTTAATTGCTTATCAGAGAAGGAGAAGGGGTGCCGATGTTTGCTGATGGAAATTTCCGCTCTCTCCATCTCTGGGTTTCTCTCCATCTTTCTCTCCCACCCCTCTGCTCGCCTCCTGCAAGCTCTTCCTTCCTGCTCACGGCCACAGTCGGCCTCCCCTGCCCTCTCTCCCCCGACTTCCTTGCTCATAGGTCTGGGGCTCTCTGGGGGCTGGGAACATGCCCAGAGGTAGCTGGCAAGCCAGAATTCAAACGGAAAGAGAAAAACTGTCCTATCTTTCATCATGTCCCCTCCCTCTGCTCACATCCTAGCCCCCTCCCTCTGTCATCCTCCAAGCTTTGAAGAGATTCCAGAGCACAGAACTCTTTAGTCATACTCAGTGTTTGGAGGAGTCTTTTTCTTTCATTCCTTCCCCCCCTTATTATTATTGTTATTGTTGTTGTTTATTTTTATTTTTTACAAAACAGGAGAAAAGAATGAATTGGGTTGGGGGAGGTGACACATTTCTCCACAAAGGTACAAAATTGCCTATAGAAAGTCAGCTTCAGAGAGCCAAGCCTGGGTGCCAGGGTGAGGCCTTCCTGGGCAGCCCTCCCCACAGTGTCCTTCAGATCCAGGAGGGCCACTTCCCCTGGGAGAGTAGTCCCCGAGATAGGAAGGAGAGGTCTCCTTCAGCCCTGCCCAGGAAGAGACAGAGTGAGCAACTGAGACTGTACAAAGAAAGAGAAGAGGAAGGGGATGCATCCTGTGGGCCACGGCCTGGGGCCATGGGCAGGGGACAGCCAAGCGGAGGCCCAGGGCCTCTGGGCACATGGGAAAAGAGGGAGGGGCAGGCTCTAGCCAGAGTCCTTCCTGGTCCTTGGAGACGTTCCTCAGAATGGCTGCAGAGGAGCTCCAGAAGGTAAGGACGGCTTTTTGGAGGTCGTGGGAGCACCCCCTGGGGCTATAAAGCCCCATCTGTCTAGGTCCAGCTGCCAGACCTCGAGCACATGGGTCCGTGTCACTCTCCTGGCGGGGCATCTGGCCCAGATTGCTTCCCTTTTGGTGAAAAGTAGTCCTCGTTCTTTCTCTGCTGCTGAGAGCAGGCCGAGCTTCAAGAATTCTGAGACAAAGGTGACCATGGCGTCTCCCCTCCTGAAGATCTGGACAGCTTCCTCCCTGGATTCCAGGGCAGGACCAGGGGTGCAGACACCACCCGGAAAGAGGGGGCACTCCAGCCCCAGAACGCCCAAGCTGGCAGGAGAGGCCGCCCGACCACTCCCTGCCTGGGCTGGCCTGTGCCAAGCTGGGCACCCAGCCCGGCTGCTAGCAGAAGGACAGCCAGAGCCAGGATGGCTACGAGCCCAGGCC